TGAAAAGCCCACATGTTTTATTTTTTGTCTATGGGATTACTGATTTTCACTGCCTGAAGGCCAATGTCTTTATATATTTTATTCAGTGTGTTAACTGTTGCATGTGAGAAGGTAAATTCACTCCATTACTTCTTCTTGTTTAGAAGCAGAAGACTTCCCAAATCTCATTTTAGAGTCTGCTTCCAAGAGTCATACCTGCTATCAACTGTTCTAGGCTAGTTCCCAGGAAGCAGACTCTCACGCTCTGAGATTTACATACACGGTGTTTATTAGTGAGGATTCTCAGTAGCATCTCTAAGAGTGTAAAGGAAGCAGGATTGGGCAGCAGGAGAAACTGCAAGGCTGCTGTAACAGAGGTCTCCGCCAATATTGAGAGAGCTCAAAAAAGAGAATGACCTTTCAGAGTTGTCCCAATTATATCCCTTCCCTTGCACACAGTACTGAGAGGCAGGAAGACCTCAGGGAGAAGGCATAACCTTGGGCTGAGTGAGGGAGCTTTCTCTGGCAGGGGAGGGAGTGCCTCTGTCCAGCATCAGTACCACCACATCCAGCACAAGGTGATGGCAGCATTATACGAATGCCAGTCAGTCTGCATCCTGATGAAGTGTTTTATTACAGCCAGGAAAACTATTGCTTCTTATTTAAACAGCTTATCAAAATGGAAATTATTTTTCAGCTAGTATCATGAAAATATCATTTCCTTATTCTCTCACTTTTTAAGACTCTCTACTCGGGATTTCCTTTCAAAGACAATTAAAACTATAAGTTAAAGTTTGCTCAGTAGGACGAGGCTTTCCCTGGCAGGGTCAACTGCTTTCACACCTGCAGATCCAAATTTTTCGTAACTAGTGGGCTCTGGAGGGACTGAACACTAGGGGATGAAACTGAATCTGAGGCTGCAGTTTATAATCATGTTTTCAAGGGCACATAGTGAACATTTTCTGGTATTCCTTCTGTTTGAAGGAGGCAATGTCACGCAGAACTTAAGAGCGTACGCAGGTAGAATGTTCCAGTCAGCAAGGTGAAGAAGCTCTGGGGATTTGCTGTACCACACTGTGCCTACTGTTAGCAATACTATATTGTGCACTTAAAATTTATTTGGAGGATAGATCTTGTATTAAGTGTTCTTACCACAATAAATAAAATAAAATAAAATGCAATGCACTCTGAAGCCAGACAGTTCCCATTTACATCCGGGCTCCACTCCCTCTGTGCTTTGGACTTTGGGCAAAGTGATATGATTTCTAAAGCTCACATTCCTTCTCTATAAAATGGGCTGAGTGTAGCACCTTCTAGGGTTGTGATCACTGAGGGAGGCAGAAGCAGAATAATGTGGTTACAAAGAACGTGGTTCTGGCACCAGATTGCATGGGCCTCCGTCCTTCCTGATACTTACTGATTTAGTTTAATCTCTGCTTGCTTTCTTATTTACAAAAGACAGATTGTAATAATAGCATGTCCCTAGGGTGTTTATGGGAGTTAAGTGAATTAATACAGAAAAAAGTTTAGCAGAGTGCCAAGCATACAGTAAGGGCTCCGTAAATGTGAGTTCTAATTATTAGCCCTTGAAAGGGTTTGCAAAGTTTGACCTGAATTTGGTGAAGAAACATAGAGCAGGCCCTGCTGTGAGTGCCCTTCAGGCTAGTGAATGAGAAGGGCCAGGGCAGAAGTAATGATCAAAATCAGGCTGAATACTACAAGACGTTTTTTGAGTGAACAAATAAAGCTCTGTGGAAAGTAAAGGAGAAGGGTATTAATTTCGAAGGAAAAGTGACAACTAAGGACAGAACTTGAAAGGGCAGTTAACCAGAATCGTAAGCAGAACAGGTAGAATTTACACTTCCTCTTCGATTAGTTAAATGTAGGCAGCTTGCATTGTGACCTAATTGCAAAGAGGTGGCTAGCAGCACTGTCTGTATAATTTCCTGTGGCTGTGGCCCCAAGCTCCTGCAGCTGCCCAGAGCTACGGCTTTAAGAAACAGAGATGCTGCCCCTCTCCTTGGCCCTCTCCCTGCCCCACCTCTGGCTCAGTTCCAGGGATCTGGGACTCCCAATGGCAAGTGGAGAAGTGGTTACCAAAGCTGACTTCCCCCTTTCAGCAGATCTCCAGGCAGTAGTACGAGAGAGCCCCCGCCCGCTCTGTTTCTGCTGGCTTGAGGAAGTAAGTACAGCTAACCACTTCCCTGTGGAGCAGGGGTTACTGATATCTGAAGTCAAATAACTCTTCCTCAAAATGTTAAGTACAGGCTTAAGAAAGGCTCCACTCTGGGTAGCTCCAATAAAGTACAAGCCCTGTTTCTCAGCCTTTGAGACCTGTCAGACAGCAAGAGAACTTGGAGTTCCCAGAACTGAGTTGTAGGGCAATGATCTGGACTTGCTGTGCTCGGGAGTCACTGTGAAAGTTTACAGCCTGGGTGGTTAGTCTGGAGAAGTGCAGACAGCAAAGCTGTGGAGGCAGGCTGGTCTTGCTCTGCCACCTGCCCCCGAGCAGACAAGTCCCTTTACCTCTCTGCCCTTTAACTTCTTTACCTGTGAGAAAACAAACGTGTTAAGTGTCATTATCTGGGTGCTGATAATGTTCCAAGCACAATATTTGAGGGAAGTATTATTCCTTTCTTTTCACAAATGAAGAAAGTGGAATTCAGAGAGTTTAAATAACTTACCCAGGGTAACTCAAAATAAGAATGAGTATTTTAATTCACGTCTGTCTCTCAAGCCTGTGCTCTAAGGAGCTGTCACCCTTCTCTAAGCCAGGCATGTCACAGGAGCTCAATAAATCACAGCTATTATTAACATTTCAAAATTACATTGACTGGGATTACCATCTGCACATAAGAATATAGGTTTCAAAAAAGCATAGATGTAGGGCCAATTGTCCTTTTGCACTGGCATGTACAAATACCATCTTGCAGTTTATAGAGGAACATTTGCCTCTTAGAATTGTGATCTGATCGGAGTTTGGCATCAGAAAAAAGAGAGATTCCATGTCTGCACGCTGCAAACATAATTTAATAAAGGAGACAGAACACTGGACTAGGAATTGATAAGCCCTTTATACTTTAAAAACAAATTTTTATTATCTCATTCCATCCTGGTATAAACTCCCTTATTTTTATCCTTGCTTAATAAAGAAGACAGTCTCTGAGTGGAGTAGTGGAAGGTTTGGCCTAAACCGGTGCTCCTCCTGTTAATACTTCTTGTTCAAATTCTATCACTAAGTAGCAACTTTTGGCAAGGCATTTCTCTTCTCTTGGTCTGGGGTTCTTCGTCTGTAAAATATGCATGGGCTGTAGATCATCTGATTTCCAAGACTTTTCTTCTCTAATGGCCATGGCATCTTGCAACCACTAACTATGACTTCGGGGATGGCCCTTGCTCAAGAGAAAACTCAACCATCCAAGGGTTGGTTGCTTAAAATTGTGCTATTTCTAGCCAGTATCCTTTGCAGATGCTTATGGCTATGCTTGATGACTCTGATAAGATTTAGTGTCAAGTAATATATTTTTGAAAGTTGATCCTTTACTTTATCTCAATTCTGGGGTGAATGAGGCAGGGCCCTTAAGACGTCTTCATTGTCTTCACATACACAGCTGTTTGTAGGGCATTTCTTCAATCATAATATTAACATATAGGACTACAAAGACCTCGCTTTCTGATTATCATCTATGTAACCCGCAATAGTAAGATTGGGACAGTCTGACAAAGCAAAGGCTGTGCTGAGTGGAGAAGGCTGAGCACTCATTTGTTAGAGCAGTTGAAAGATTTGCTTTTGGAAGCTGCTTCTTCCCTGTAGAGTTGGGCTCCCAAGCAGTGTGCAGTTCCAAGAGCAGAAGGAATGTCTTTGTTAAAGACGCTTAATTATTTATAGGCTCATGGAAGAGGCCAACTAGTGATAGAGATTCTCAGCCTCAGGCCTGTACATAGTTAAATCTCTCTGAAATGAGGTTGTGTTGGGCCAGAGCAATATTTAGTTTTATTTTAACGAACTTTAGTTTTTCCAGTCTAAGCATTTCTCAGCTTCATTCATTCATGTTATCCGTCTACTCCTTGAAGGCATCTGAGCTGTCATCTCTGAAATTAGGGGCCCCTATTTGTTCTGCTTCTGGTGTGTGCCAAACATTTCACATATATCTTATTCATCCTCAAAATAGAATTGTCTTACCTACTAGCATCTCCCTGTTTTACAAGTAAGTAACTGAGGCTCAGAAGGAAGAACTTGCCCAAGGCAAGGTACCCTATAAATACCACCAGGATTGGCTGACCATTAAGCTGGAGGCTTAATGGGTCTTGGCTTGCTTGGATTCCTGTCATCTGGCTCCAGTGCCTTCCCAAGTGAGTGTTTCAAGGGCCACTCCATTCTACGACTTGGATTTATCCTTTCATGTCAACAACCCAGAGGGCCGACTTATTTAATCACAGACATCATCATTACCAAACCTCGAACGACTAAGGGTGTCAAGATCCTGCCTTCCCTGCAGGGATTCCTCCTGCACCCAGTGGATTCATTACTGAACCCACGATTTTCAAGCCATTGGTAAATTCAGTGTGTCCATAATGTCTCCTTAATTGTTACTAAAGGAACTTGTTCACCGGAGAGCAGACCTGGGGAAAACGGACTCGCATAGTATTCGTCTTCAAAGAGTTGAAAATCCAAGAGAGAGTCGATATATGTCTACGGTTCCAAAGGGCAACACCTGGCAGTGTCAACCTGATAGGAAAACTCCAATTTATCAGATCTTCCCATCAATCCTACCGTCAAATCCATGCCCGCGGCGCCTTCCTCCCCAGACACTCAACCCCTAGGTTTCCACCCGCAAGTGGCGACCCGAGCTTTCGGGCGCTCGCACCCCCGCTCTCGGCGGTGGAGCCGCCCTCGCTAGAGGCGCGCTGGCACCTGCACCGCGCGGCTGCGGACGCGCGCGGCGTCTCCTGGCAACGCGGACGCCGAGCCAGGGTCGCGCGCCGGCGTCTCCTGGCAACGGCGGACGCCGAGCCAGGGTCGCAGAGCCTGCTCCGAGCTCCGAGCTCAGCCCCTGCCATGACCTCCAAACAAACCAGAAAGAAAGAGGTGCATCGTATCAACTCGGCGCACGGATCGGATAAATCTAAAGAGTAAGGGAACTCTGTCTGCCATCCCACCCCTGGTTTAACCCCTTGGCCTTTCCACTCCTCCCTGTGCTGCTTCCCTGCAGCCAACACTGCCATGGCAGGAGTTTAGCTGGCCTCCTCGCAGCGGCTTTACCTTCTGCGGGAACCCAGACCCGGGAGATTCTTGTCCCTATTTCTCCTCCATGCACACCTCGACCCAGAACCGTTTATGTCCAGCAGTGACCAAATTCATAAGTAAATACGACTTTGAATCACCAAGAATAATCATGTCAGGTAACTGAGCTATCAGCTTTTACATTAGATTAAATTATTTCTGTTTTATGTATTCTCTATTTCTCTGTATCAGCAAAAATGAAATCACTGTTCTAGGGTTCACCCTCGCACCATTTTTTGAGACATTGATCATGTCATTTTTCTTTTTAGACATTCAATGTTTTCTTCTTTAAATGAAGGGCCATTTACTTAAAATTGTTCCCACTCCAACATTCCCTGTCCTGCCTTCTCTACTTTATCTTTCCCTCCAGCTCCAAACTTCCATGATTCTTTCAGATTTTTTTAACTCTACTAGTTCCATAATACGTGAGGGAATTTTGTTATAGTAAAATGTTTAAAACTTAAATTTATTTTTCTAGTTGGAAGTGTCATCTTTTTAAAATTTCATCTTTGAGAACAGTATTTTTTATGGTCCTAACAACTGTCACAAATTATACTTTTCATTATCAGTACCTAATGATAATTAGAAATGATAAACCATTTTAATCAACTTGAAAACTAGTATGCACTGCAAAAATGCTTTCATTACTTAGATGCCACTAGAAGGATTTGAGGAGTTGTAGTGATACCAGAACAAATATGTGACCTTCTTGAAAATACTAAGTATAATGTTTTTGTATTTTAATAATGCAAAAAAGGGAAAAGGAAGCATGCAATTTAAGTATTAAGAGTTATTAGAAATGTTAATGATTACACTTGAAGTGCTAAAATATTTGGAACTTTAATGGAAAGTTTGAGATAGAGACTCAATTTGGTGTTTATAGTCCCCAAATTTTGTTCCACTTCCAATAGCACATTAAAACTAAGACCAAACAAACACTTGTTGAACGCTTATTTGTTGGACTAATAAGAATTATGCAACTTTCAAGATTCTTTATGGTGATAAAATATTATTAGACCTCTTTTTAAAACAGAACAAAATATATTTCTTAAAGCTCAAGTTAGTCTATCTTTACTTACTGAAATGCCATGCAAATGTCATAGAATTCTCAAAAAATATCAATATATTTGGCTATACAGAAATTTGAAAGCAGATCTATTCCCAAGTCAAATTGTGATTAATACCATGAAAGCAACATAAAATAGAAAAATAAATATCTTACTGAGAATTAAATTGAGTTCTTGGTTATACCAGCTTCAGAGAGAGCTGCTCCAGTGAAACCATGCAATAATGGTTGATAAATAATAGATGATATATTCCTCTACCACCATAGATCTGAAAGAAAAAAAAAAAAAAAACACAGGCACACACTATGGGGGAGGGGAGAGGCAGTAGGGAGGGTTTTTTTTATATTTCCAGGTCTAGTCCTTATAGCTCCATAGAAAAAAGGCAGAGAGGTAAGAGGAGGAGCAGGGCAGGTAGTAATCCAGGATTCACAATGAGTTTTGTGATTTCCTCAGGTGACCTCTTTGGACCTCAACAACTAAGGTCATAAGTACTCACAATTTAAAAGGTGACCTCTGGGGAAACTTCCCTAGAGAAAAGCCTACTTATGTTCTTTTCCCAACTATTTAATGAGCACTTCTCACGCGCAAGTCACTGGCTGGCTGGGAGAATAAGAATTGCAAAACAGGGTACCTGTCCTGGGATTTATAATCTAGCAGAGGGAAAACTAAGATTCAAATAGAAATAACTAAGAAATATACAGTAATGCCAAGTTTATCAGGGAGAACTTGTTGGAAATAATGGAAGGAACCACATATTGGTGTAGGGTTAGATTAGAGAAATCCTGACATTTCCAAAATGATGCATCAGAGGGGAGGAAGATCACTTTGGACTAGAGCTGACCTTTCATCACCTCCCTCTAATAGCCATTCTCCAATTTTGAAAGGCACAGGCCAGTGGGATGACTAGTGCAAGCAATGGAGATGTTTGAGGCACAGAAAGACATCCAGGTTGGCTGGAGCAGAGGGGCTTCATATGAATGTACTGGCACATCAAGGATCCAAGCTGAGTATGCCACAGAATGAGAGGGACAGATTAAGGAATTAGAACTATATGTGATGGGGAAACATAGATTATTTTCAATATCAACATGATGATTTACTAGGTATAATTTGAAAATTGTCTGCATGGAATTCATGCTGAATTAAGAATCAGGCTAGCAAGAAATGGGTGATGATAATGGGAGATGATAATGCAGGAATGCATGCTTCTGGGAACTCTCCAGGATAGAGAGGAACCTTTTTTTAAAGGAGAGGGGAGGAGATCAGTGGGGACAGAGCAGACCTGTAAGATGTTTGTGGTCAAAGACTACAAAAGCCAAATTACTGATTTTCCGTTGCAGTGGTGATGTTGTCCTGGTGATGATACTACCATGTCTGAAAAGAGAAGGAAAAAAAAAAGTATAAACAAAATTCAATGACAAGTGTCTGAAGGCCTTGCCTTGTTTATTTTTGCATTCTCTTCAGGGCCTGGTACAATGTGTCTTCAATAAATGAGTGTACTTTAATTGAGATAAAATGGGAATCGTGTGTGGCAGCTTGGCCATTAAACCCTGTGACTCAGAACCAGAGACAGACTGTGAGAGCCCAGAAGGAAGAGACCCGTTAATCATCCCAGGACAAGGGATAACACTTGGCGCAGATTAGGGCAATATGAGTGTCTGTTGCATATTTTTTAAATACAAAAATCTCAGCCAAAATCTCAGCTTAATGAGGCTAGGACTACTGCCATGTTAGTCTTAGTGGGTGGTCTGCCACCAGTCCTCCTTTTGAAAAAATCTTAATCTGAGCATTTGTTTAATAATTTGTTAAGATTTGACATGGGTTATAAATCCTTCCAGACAATGAAATCTTTTTGATTTAATCAACCTATTTCCATTTTGTTTAGTTTGGAGGAGAAATCGTACTTCATTGTTACCTAAAAAATTCAGCGTTATACTTTGAAACTCATAGCACTGTTGCTAATGCTTCTAGATGAGCGCACTAATATTGCTTCAAATAAAAATGGTTATTTAAAAATATATTAGTTGACTTTAATGTACTTTGACATTTCCAGGTCACAGACTATTGAAATTAAGGCACTGAATAATCTATAAACTGATTAGGATACTTAATGTGAGATAAAATGACTAAAACCTGCATCCAAGACAGATTAAAAATATACCTTTGATATGATTTGTATAATTTGGTATAATTTGTATAATCTGAAAGATTGGATAGAAATATTACTAATCTTTCTCACTTTTACCCTCAACAAGGAAGACAGGCATATGTTGTCAGAAGTATTCAGCTAGGCGCTTTGAAATTTTATTACGTTTTTTCCCAGGGTAGGTCCAGGGTAGTTAATTCCAGGGTCTAAGGCTATAGCCATGCTAATTTGTATGGCCGAATAACATATGATACATTTTTAAAGTAAGCAAATACTTTTTTTTTTTTTGCTGGTGCCAAAATGAATACCATACTCCAAATATTTTGTGATTATTTTCATTCCATCCTTCTGACCTGATGAGTTTCAGAATTACATGTATTACTTCAGTTAAATTTCTCAAAAGGTCAGTGTGCCCTTTTTGTCCCCATTTCCTCACTTCTCAATCTTTGATTCAGGGAAGAATTGTGTCTAGTTTAGTTATAAATTAAAGAGAAAGGCTACTCCAGGTCATCAAACCTTGTGCATACACAAGGCAAGAGGAGAGGAAGCAGGAAGAACTGAGGTCTGTTTTGCCTGCTTTTGCCTCAGGTGTGAGCCAGAAACACACTGAAAGTTTAACCAAGTGAGGTCAAGGTCAAAGGTGAAGGAAGGCTGTACTGTGCAAACTGCTAACAGGTCTTTTCCTCATACTATTGTAATGCATTAATTAGAAATTAGGGACAAAACCACATGTTCGCTCCACCTTAGGTCAAAGTCTAGTGGGGATTTGGGATTGGTTTGCACCATAGACAAATAATTAGGTTAGGAAAAAAGAGTTGGTTTAAAAGAAAAAAAAAAGTGAACTAAAGTTCATGCATGTGTTAGCCCACAGGTACTATGGGCCCATTTTTTCTCTCGTGGATCTTGGTTAATATCACATTTGTCCTTGCTCTTTATAAACAGCAGCTTTGCTGCTGGACCGTGTCGGATTCTGGGAGATGGCAGAAGCTAAAGGTTCTAGCGGCCGGTGTACACTGGGATCAGAGCAGCAGAAGCAGCCCCGTCCTGTTCTGCTCTCTCCCTTTGGTTCATTCCTCCCTGTCTCTCAAGAGGTTCAGCTGCCTACAGGGGACCGTGTGTCACTCCAGCTAAATCTACCCTCTCTTGTCCCTTCCCGGAGTTCTTCTTTCCCTCTGACCTGCTCCTGCTTTGTTTTCTTTCTTCTACCCTCAGAGTTAAGTCATTCTTCATGGTCTGACTTCACTCTCCTCTTCCTTAGCCCTCTTGATGATCTGAAACAATCATCCCTGACCAAGGACGACTAAATTAGCATCTGTGGTCCTTCCCATGTAACTGAGCTCAAGTTCAAGTGGCCAGATCCCTTGGATGTGCTCTTCTACTCCCAGAAAAATATGTCCAAAATGGAGGTCTTCATTTCCTCTCCCCAAAGCACAGATTTCCCACGTTCATTTTAGAGCATCTTACTACCATTCTCCCTGACACTTTGAGTCTAGAGAGCAGTCATTTTTTTTACCTTCACCCTCCTTTGCCCATAATATCTAGCCAGTTTCCATGTTCTTTTGATTTTCCCTTCAAATTGCTTCTCTACCTTGGCTCAGCATTCGTTGTCTTCCCTGACATCCTCTAGTTAGACCCT